TAGATTTTTACTTGTCTTCATCATTTGAACATGGCAGCTTTCCTTTACATTGTGTGAAAATTTAATGATGACAGGACCAATAGAAATACTCTACAAATGCTTGGAACAAAATCTCTTTACATTAACTTCCATTGAAAGCAAAGAACATTTTTGCCCTCTCTTGTAAACTTACTATTTTGGAGATACTTGTTTTTCCTTGGACACTGATGATATGCTTGAAACCTTTTAACAAAACCTCTACTGCATCAAAAATAAAAAAAATAAAAAATAGTGAAGAAAGTTCAGTTTTCCATGAAATGGGACCTTTAAAAAGCTAAAGAAGTTACATTCTACAGAAAACTACTGCGTGACCTGCACAATGCTAACGATGTTGTTATGGCTACAGTGTGTGTATTATGTGAGGCTCTTTTCTCAGTACAAAAGGTGCTCCAGGCAATGCTTTTTCCATACATTAAAATACCTGGTGTGAACACAGCCTAACTTTTCTAAACTAGAGCAGGCACAAAATGATGAAATGGCTCAGGCAAACAACTCTTACACTGTAATTGGAAAACGGTTGCAAGTACAGACAAAGACCAGTGTAACAAAAATAGTTGGTGCTGCCAGAAGTTGACACAAGATTCTCTCAATTTCCCCTTCTTGTGAATGTTAAAAGTTGACACTGCGCGGTACTTCATGGTGTAGTTACGTCTTAGCATGGACATGAACATGAACTAGGAGGTCTGAAGTAATGCAGCTAGGCTAACAATCATAGCTGATGTTAAAAATGAGATTCTTCTGATGTCTGTATTACATGACAAGCTAACATGGTTCAACATGATCATCATTCACTAAGGATAAAGTAAGTTAGACTGTGTAGAACCACAGGCCCTCCTCTGACACTCACTTGCAAAAAAGAAGCATACTTAACCCTCCTGTTGTGTTCCGGTCAAATCTGACCAATTTACAAGTTTCCTCTTTAAAAAGTGTAGTAAATTTCATCTGTTTGTCATGAGGTTCAGTGACTTTGTTCACACATGGTATTTAAACACCTAAAATAAATCTGAAATATTTTTATAAAAATTTGTGTGTTTTATGGAACTTGTATACACCCATGGTGTTCCTGGTCAAAAATGACCAGTTATTGGAAATGAATCTATAAGACTACAATTAGTGTATAAAAAGAGTTCAAGCATGTATCAAGCACATCCACAGCAACCAGAGAAGGAGGAGTCAAAAGAAAGAGGTGCCAACTGTGTGCACCAAGATAAAAAACTAGCTTTGTGTGCCAGAGATGTGGTGTATATATATGCAAAGGACATGCAACAACCACAGTATATTGCCCCACATGCTCATGAGAGGACAAAACTGAGTCACATAAGGATAACATTATGGCACTGTCTTTTCAGAGTACAATAGAAAATTGTAAATATGTTCATACAGTGTATGGTTCAAGCATTTCTCTTAAATTTTTCCTGTGTACTTTTGGGCTTTTGTTTTCAGTAAATAAATCATACCGGTCAGTTTTGCTCAGGTAAATGAGGCCTGCAGGACATAAACAACAAATACAAGTTCAAAACTTATAATGTTCACAAGAGCTGAAGTTCTAAAAAAGATCTAACAGAACATTAGGTGATAATATATGTATTATTGTTGATTTATAATGGAATAAAATGATCCCGGTCAAAAGTGACCGGGAACACTGTGAGTGTCAGCCGAAACGAACACAACAGGAGGGTTAAGTACATCAGTAGTGTATTTAGTAGTATAGAGAGAATACTACAAGTACTTTTTTTACTTCATGTATTTTGTGGAAAAACACTTAAAATATAGTTTTCTGTATTGTTTATATGTTATATATTTTTTTTAAATAACATTAAAATATACTTAAGTAAGTTATTATTATATTTATACTTATTCTGTAAGGAAATACACTTAAATACATTTATCTCTGGAACATATTGAATCATAATTAAACAAAATTATATTTAATTGGGATAAACTTAAAATGATTAATTATTATAACTGTCCTGTGTTGTGTGACGGCTAGGGGCTGCTAAATTTCCTTCGGTATCAATAAAGTATCTATCTATCTATCTATCTATCTATCTATCTATCTATGTATCTATCTATCTATCTATCTATCTATCTATCTATATATATATCTAAGTGGATCATTTAGAAGTATGTTTTAATGCTATGTCTTTTAACCTTTAAATGGCCAGAGCAGGCCCAAAGTTTAATTACACACATCTTTAACCTAAGAATAGCTTGATTCATTTGCATTGAAGTCCTTGTAGTTACTGAACAATAAGTATTAGTATGTAATAAACCTGGGATTTTTAAGGGGTTACAGTAAGCTGTAGTACATTTTGCTTGCATTTTTGTGATACAACTCCAACAAACTAGTGATCAAATATGGGTATTGATATGTCCAAGAGTATACATTTAAAACATTACAAGTGTAGTAGAGTTTGTCTTAACAATTGCTTAAGTTAATTGCAACAGTCACAAGCACAGATGTATTTCAGCATGAGTTGTGTTTAGATATATGAATCTATAGTTAATGATGTTGAAATATAATTTAAAATGTGCAAACATTAAAGGTGTTTACTTTTAATGGTAAATACACTTTTGAAAAAGACTTAAATTCACTTTCCTTTCACAAGGCTCAGACTGTTAGCAGTAGTGTTAGCTCATCTACTGATTTTACCCACAGTGGCTAAAAAATTAAGTGTGCCACTCTGTAAAGCAATGTTACAGCAATCCTCAGAACCAAACCAAATTCCTACCAGTGTGCCAAGCCAAAACCAAACTGTAGGCCCTGCAGTTGAAAATTATCAATTGGCTAAACTGGCACATTTCCAGAAATGTTTATTATGTAATGTGCATTGCTGCTGTAAATCTCAATGAAATAAACTAAACATTTCTCAGTGGCTGCTATTGGTTGCTTTTGGTTCCATGACAGATCTAAATTCTTTCCATAGTATAATATCTTCTTCTCTCTCCAGTCAAGTTAAATGTAACCTCTTTGACTGGTCTAATCCACAATGCAAACTTAATGAGTGAATAGTTGTACGTACACGTGTGCAAACTTCTGTGTAGCTTAAGCTTGATGTGTTTCATCACACTCGTGAAAAGCAGCTTTAAGGTACCTCCTACTGAATGTATGCACATCTGTGACTATAATACATAAATAAATACATAGTTGTGATTGAGTGGTTGAAAAATGCCTGTTGACACCAGTGCCGTCTAATGACAGCTGACTGCCTGGCTTGGATAGGTCTGCTAAGAACCATAGACAAGGTTGGTGCAAGGATGCAGCTCCTAGGGTGGAAAATGAAACTAGATGCTGTTCAATGGTGTTCTAAAAAAAAGCTTGGTTTTGTTGAATATGGCATTGTAGTTTTTCTCCGTCTGGAGCTGTGACCCTCAGTAGAATTGAAGAGGAAAAAACAGCAACCCAGAGGCCGCAGACATATTCAAGATTGGTGCAAGGACAGTGACCCTGGGCTGGATGTTTGTGTGCTGGTTATTTACCTTGGCTATGATGGGCTGCACCTTGAGCTGCTGTGTACGTCCAGTCTGCCTGCAGATTTATTCAGCGCTAATGTGGGCTGCTTGGGATGCAAGATGCGTAGGATCGCGTGGGTGAATGTTGTCTGCTTTCTTTAACCCATTTTAGGTCTGTCCTTGCATGCATATAAACACGCATACACCATCCTGACCTCAATATTTCTTATAAGGTAAATAATAATATTAACCTCTGTAAATAATGATAATGCAATATGGAACTATAGGCATAGATTTCGAATCGATAAGGTCATTGAACAATAACTGAACTTTAAGCATCCTTTTGCAAGCCAGACCTGCTTCCTCAAGGCTTATGCTTGGAAATGTTTTACATTGACAAAATTCACATTTGGTTTTCACTTATGAAATCTGTGATGTTAAACTGTTATGGATCTCTATGGACCTTTTTTGGTAGCACTTTAGAAGGCCAGCTTGTAGCTGATTTCAGATGGTCTAAGCTGGTCTTTAAGGGGCAACATGATTTACAAGCTGCATATCTAGCTGGACAGGGCAAAAACATATCCTGCGCTGGTCAACCAGCTGGCTAATCCAGCTTAGCTGGTTGACCAGCATAAGATATGTTTTTGTTTGATGGTTTGGCTGGTCTACCAGTGTGATCAACTTGGTTAGGCTGGCTGAACAGTTTGGTCATGATAGTCATTCCGGTTGACAAGCTTGGTCAAGTTGATTATGCTGGTAGACTCATTAAACCATTGAACTCAAGTAAAGCATATTGTATGCTGGCCTACCAACTTAACCCAGTTTTTTGGGTATTTTCTCAGAAATACACAAAAAAAACAATGTATTAGCATTTAAAACTAGCAACTTACATGACCATGGTAAGTACTAACTGACTACTTCAACAAATATTTGCATATCTGATAAAGAAGAGTAGTTAAGCACAGGTGATAAAAGTGCAAATATCGTAGGACACCTATGGAGTATGGAGTTCTCAGTAAGCACAGTAATTTATCCAATATTAAGTGGTGTTTTCTGGTAAGTCCTGTGTTACACTGTGGTAATAGAACTGTATTTATGTACAAAGTTACCTCTTAAATCCTTAGTAATTAGTGCATTGCAGCAGCATGCGCAGCTATGTATCTGGTAGTTTCTAAATAAGTTACTATGTGAATGCAAAGTATATACTTAAAATTACTTTTTATTACTATGTACTTAACTATTAATAACTAAGTAACTATTAATAACTAAGTATTATAAAGTGCTACCCCTTATGTCCTTGGATTGGTTTGTCTTCAAAACAAATCTGCAGCAATGTTCACCTATAATATTGAGTCATGCAGAAATGATGTTGCTTTGTGGACTCAAATCCTTCAACAGAAATTGGTAATAATGCTTCGTTCACCTGAGGACTTTAGTATCCCTGCTGTATCCATGAAAGAAACACTCTCTGAGATAGTACAGCATAAAGCAGACATTTCAACACAGACTTGCTGTTTTAGGTATCACAATTTTATTACAAAAATTAGATCTTTTTTCATCTTTCAGTGCTGCCATGCTTTTAGCATATAACAATACAGTATAAAATCTCAACCCAAAAGGAGGATAGGAAAAGCAGATTTCTTTTTCGTTGATGCTTTTTGCAGCATTTTGGACTATCATGCTGTTTTCTGTACATAGAACATTCCTTGGAAAGTACAAACACCTGCCAAACACACTACGGTTTTAAACAAAACTGCCTTGAAAATGCGCCAACTGCTAATTGTTTTTAACCGTGATCGCCCAACTGAACTATTACATGTTGTGACCGTAATCAACGTAGCTTCCAAAATCAATAGTTACACGAAGAAATAAACACACAAGAACGAGTACACTGCAAGTGATGAATGAATTTCGAGATACTTCAACAGCCCAAAGGCACCCAGGCTTGTAACATGTTGGCAATTAGTAAGTTTTCATTCACGCATACGCACCCACAACCACACGAGAAAACAAAAAAACTTCAAGCAGGTGGTGAGAAGAAAGAAACAATCGTGAGAGAAGAAAAAATAAGATGCCATATTGTTTTCATCCTTGTTTTGTTCTACATTCTTTTTCAGCTTCCACCATTGTTCACAGTGAGTATCCCAGGAATAGGGGAGGATTCTCGAACGGTTCTGAGGGGGAAAAGGAGCCTATGTGATTTCACAAATCTAAGGTAAAACTACACGGCTTCCAAAACTAAAAATGGGTCGTATGATCCGCAGATCGTATGATCAGAATGGAAAGCCTTTGCCGTATTGTGTCAGGTAGGCTAACTGTCCAGTAAGGCATCACTCGCCCAGCAAAAGATCAGAAAAGACAGTGCCTTCAGAATGAGAAAAACTCAGAATAGAAACCATCTCAGGCCTTCAAAATCCAAAATCCAAAGACAAAGGAGAAGTATTTCTTTGCACAACCAAAAAAGTAAGCTCAAGTGTTCACAAGAATTCATTCAAACATCTAACAAAAATGTTCCAGATGATGGTTGTTGTTTGTTGTTTGTCTCCACATCTTCTGAGTGATGTTTGGAGATGATTGATTGGATGATGGGTTGACTCGGAAAACTCCAGTTCCTTGTCAACTTTATAATTCCCATGTCGATCAGTTCAGTTGGCGGCAAGCCTCAAATGTCCATTTGGATGCTCCTCCGTAGATCTCAATGCTGGTCTCCAGCCAGGAGAAGACATTGCCCACTTGTGCTTTGCTGCTGCACGTTGCCAGATTATAAATCTCGCCTACCGTCAGCTTCCGGTCCCAGATGTGGAAGTTTGCCATGTCACCCACAAACGCTTGAGTGGCATCAAACCCTCCGCCAAGTGTGTCCTGTTGGGAAGCAAACCAATCAAACTACCATTAGAATGTGTTCATCATTCCCAAAACGATTGTGTTCTTTATTAACTTGCTCAGGTTTTATGTTTTCAAATGATTGATCTCAGTCAACCAAGCAATGCTAGGTTGACAATATCATCATGTTGGCATTGTATGGCTGAACTTCCTCTTTAAGGATTTCCTAGAAGGCTTTTCTGCACTTGCTTTTGGATCCGAGAAGCAAGCTAAATAAGGACTCTTTAATAAGGTTAAGGTCATTTGAATGACGTTGTTTTATTCAGTGCATTCAATGCTATGGATTTTATTGCTGTTTAGTACAGAACAGAAGAACAGAACAGTGGTGGTATGGAATTTTACACAATAATACAAGATTAGTGGAGCCTCAGGCTAGTGTGCAAGCTGTACCCTTGCTTTCCCCCTAATCTGAAGCTAATATCCTATCCTATTTTTGTTTTTAGCCCCGTGAACAGCGGATGAGCTTGTAATATCCTGCAGCATTACAGCCGACAAGGGAAACAGAAAAATTCCACTTACTGCTTCAATCAATGTGACAAATTTGGCGTAACGGCTAAAACTGTATGCAGCATCATTTCTTCAAGCTCTGATTCCCTTTACTGAATGCAAGAAGACAGTGAAGTTCAAAGAAAGCATTCCTACCTGCTCTTGCCCCAACACCAGCACTCCTTGTGGTTTGATTGGATGATATGGGGCCAGATTCTCCCCACTACCCCTCATCACTCCATCCTGGAAAGCCTCCCACACGCCGTCACGGGTTGTCCAGGTAACGCAGATGTGATGCCATTTCCCATCGTTAATCAGAAATGGCAGCTTAGCAACCTAAAGCAAAGAAAATGTGTTTTTACTGGTGTTATAGTTGCATATGTTCCAATAACAGTAAAGGAATAAGGAGCCCTCAATTTGGCAGTAGTAGCCCATGGAAGTTTCAACCATTGTCTTTTCAAGAACCTATTATCTTTCTTTTTATTCTCATTGTAACATGAGTAATATGGGCATGTGAAGCTAATTCCCAGATATGCTAATACTCTACAAAACAAGTGTTCTCTACATTGATTTATAGTGAACTTGTCCAGTGCAGTTCTCCTAGACAATCTCTACTAATAAAAGCTCTCCTGTTGTGCAGTCTTAAAAAAGATGTTCTTCAAGGGTTCTTCAGTAAAGGAAATGGTACTATTTAGAATGATGAGTTCTATATAGAACAATTATATGCTTAAATGGTTAATTGCATTATGAAATAGTTCTTCAGATTGATGGAGAATGTATTATATATGGTTCTATACAGAACATTTTTGAAAATGGTTCTAGATAGCACCAAAAAGAGTTGTTCTGTTGTTATGATGTCAGGCTTGTAACTATAGAAGAACTCTTTTTGATGCGTGCTATAATGTACTAAAGAACCCTTGAAGAACCATCCTTTTTAAGAGTGTAAGCCATAATGTGGTCCATACTCACAAGCATGAGCAGAACATTTACCTTGTCATTGATGAGAATCTCCATAGGGTTGCTTCCCCATTCAATAAGAACCAGCTCGTTGGCCTGACCAGGAACGGCATATGAGAATGGGGTTCCCACCCCTGGAGACGCATTGGATTTAATCCACATGCACACGGTGAAGGCATACATCTCTGGCAGACTCTTTTTGACCTTAGCATACATATAGTTGGTCCTGAGGGGGAACGTCAACTGGAATTTGTCCAGTGGTCTGTTTTCCTTCTGACCTGTAGGTGAAAAGAATGAATCTCTTTCAAGCATCTGTACACTCACAGAAATAAAGGTACTAAACTGTCACTGGTTTGGTGCTCCTCACTAGGGTGGTAACCTCAAGGGCACATCAAGGGTACCTTCAATTGGCAAGTATATTTGTATCATACTCTATTGCAATTATATTTTTTAAAACTGGAGTGACTAATTAATCACCTTTTCTTGCCTCCAGGCCTATTTTATTGTTCTGTTTTTAAAAATCAGACTATGAAAAGGTACAAATATGAACTTCTCCTGAAGGTACATAGTTGGACCTTAAAACCATTTTTGTACCTTCGAAGTAACATTTGCATTGTATCTCAATGAGCAAAAATGTACATGTACAGTACCCTTTGCCTCCAGTGCAGAAGGCATTTCTCTACACTGACATATTCAAGACATTTTTATCGTAAATATAATAATACATTTAAAGGTGTGCAGTCAAATTGCATGTTTTGTTGATCTTCTAAGTGAAAATAAGTTAACGCATCCTCTACACGGAACAAACTTAGATATGGCATTTTTCTGGAAATTATAGCGCTAGGTTTAACATAGGGAGGGAAAATAAAACATACAGTATAATATATGCTACAACTTTTGCATAAACCATTTGATTCCCAATATGATAAAATCAGTAAATAAACAGTGATTGTGCATTAAAATGTATAGAAGTGTGTTCTCTGTATTGTAAGATCTCAAATACTGATGAACTCAATCTCTGAACTTGCCCGAGTATTCAGCGGGTAGATGCGCATTAAACGGCGCTAATGAAGAGCACTGTCACTGCACCGTCACTGCCTCTCCTGTACTGTATCATCCCCCTATTCTCTCCCTCCCTGCTATCCTGTTTGATGCCTATTATGCGATGACGCACGTGCAAGGGCACGAAAAAAGGTTCAGGGACTGGGACAGTTTTACAGAGTAGGGGGCGGAGCATGCACAAAAAAGCTCACGTTCTGGTTTCTCTGACTTAATCCCACCCCTCCAATGCTGTACAACTGGCTTCGCATAACTTGCAAAGCATTGCACCTCCTCCTCCTCCTCCTCCTCACTGAAGCTCGTGTGTCCCATCTATCAAACGAGCCCGTTTGTCGTAGAGCAGTTTTCTCCCATTATCATCGATATTATCGCCTGATCGAGTATTGACTGCGCCTTTTCGCGCTGCCTGAAGTGATTCACATACAAATAACCAGAAGAAAAAGCCCCATTCCGTGTTCACCTTTCTCCAGGTCGGTGATGCGCTGGTGCAGGGAGGTGAGGGTGGACTCGACGCGCGCGCGCTGCTCCGTGTCGTTGCGCAGGCCGGGCTTGGCGCCCTCCTCCAGGCTGTTGACGCGGGACAGAACCTGCTTCTCCAGGTCGTCGATCTTACTCTGGAGCAGATCCTTCAGACTGTTGGCCTGAACGGAGCTGTTGTTGCGGCTGAATTGCTGCGGAGGAAGAATGCGACATTAGTTTTGCAGTCATTTCTGCGCAAACTGTTTTTTCCTCTCCATTTTCACCGAGGACACGGAGAACAGCCAAAAAGCAGGATTAAATTCTTTAAGGGCTTTAGTGCCTCACGTTGGCGCAGAGCGCTAAATCTGTTAGCGTTAGACTGCTGTCTGTCCTCAGGTGGACTCGCTGGAGTCCATTATTAGTTTTCCGGATTAGCTGGTGGCCGCAGCGCCGCTAAACTGAGCGGGATTTAAACGCGGGACTGTCTGAAGTTATATCGAGTTACGTCCTGAGAGCAAGATGACCAACACCGGACTGCTGATGTCCACTGGTGTGTTTACACTGGTGTGTTCACTGGTGTGAAGCTTACTTGCATGTTTTAACCATGAAAAATGGTAAATAAATGTTTAAAAAAAAATCATCAATAATAAAAAATAGAATATTTTTTTATTTAAATAAAATTGAACTTAGCCGTCATTAGCTAGGTAAAACTTTGTGTGTGAGTGTATATATATATATATATATATATATATATATATATATATATATATATATATATATATATGTATATATATATATATATGACAAAATGCAAATACAAAATGCATACAAAAATTGAATTATAAATATATATATATATATATATATATATATATATATATATATATATATATATATATGTTTATATATATATATATATATATATATATATATATATATATATATATTTCAAATATAGTAAGTTCAAATAACAAAATAACCAAAAATACTTAAAAATAAGCCGATAAAATAACAAAATAAAACTCTACGCCCTACATACTGTGAAGAAAAAAACTTTTAAATAAATATTTAAAAGAAAAAAAACCCAATAAGATAAGATAAGGAATCCTCTGCTGGCTAAAAGCTCATCCACCTACCTCCAGGTTTTCCAGCCTCTGTTTCAGTGACTGTAAAGTCTGGGACAGCTGGGTTAGAGTGTCCGTTGGCCCCCTGGACACATCCCCCATGGTGTTCTTGGAGCCTGGCTCCTTCCTCCTCCCTCCTCCTCCTCCTCCTCCTCCTGCACTTCCTCCTCCTCGCGGCTCCCCCGCTTCGGGCGCGCTCTGGCTCTCGCAGCGCGCGAGTTTGGAGGTGAGCTCGCGGATGGTCTCCTTCTGGTTCATGATGGTCTCTTTCTGCTGCAGCACGGTCTCCCTCAGCTGCATGACCGTGCTCTTCAGGTCCTCCCCCGGCACGCTGTTCTGCAGAGTGGCCGCGCACAGGTCCACGTCCTTGGGCACGGACGTGCAGATGAACTGCGTCTGGCCGAAGTCCTGCGCCCAGCCCTCGGCCAGTAAGCAGCAGCACAGCGCCAGGAGTCTCCAGCGCGCTCCTCTGGCTCGGGCCTCCATGCTGGCGCTGCTTTCAGCACCGCGGAGCTGTCCGTTAATATGGAATCCTGCTGAAGGCGCGCGACTGCTTTATATAAGCGCGCGCGCTCTGCGGCGAGCCGGAGGGGGTGCGCTACGTCACGAGAGGGAGGAGGAGGAGGAGTGAAGAGGGATTCTTTCACGGTAAGATGGAAAAGAGCGGCAGTGCCAGCAGCTGAAGGCGTTTCGGCCCAGCAGCACAAGCGGATATTGAATATTTCATAGCTGCTACCATTTGTCATTTCTCGCCTCTGTGTTTCTGTATTTATTTCCACACGTGTTTTTCATGCACCGTGTCGCAGTGTCGAAGTTAAACTGGACTTTAGCCACACTGAAAACAGTGATGCATTTATTTCACTTGGCTCACGTGTACATCATTTCCACATGAATAAAACACCCATCAGCCATGACGTTAAAACCACCTCTCTGTATCTACACTCATTGTTTATCAGCTTCACTTTGTAGTTCTGTAATTGCAGACTGTAGTCCATCTGTTTCTCTGCATATATACTTTATTTCCTTCATGGTCAGGACCCCCACAGGACCACCACAGAGCGTGTATTATTTGGGTGGTGGATCTTTGCGTCTGGCCAAAATCCTGCGCCAAGCCCTCAGCCAAGAAATATAATTGGAGTATAAATTCTTTTATAATCCACCTAATATTACCACCCCTGTAGCAGGACAGATTGTCAGAGTGACGCTCTTTGTATTTGACACAGACTTGCTCATTTTGTGAGTAAGCAGTAGATTTCTTCACCATTGTTATTTGTAATAGACCAAAATGGGGATCTTATCTAAAAGATTGAAAGGTATGACTCAAACAACCAGACTTCTAGAGTCTGAGACAGACAGACAGACAGACATCCCTGGTTCGCCTACAGTGTAGACTAATATACTAAAAGCTAGACAGAAAGTACTTGTAGATGTTTTATTCAAAATTTACTTATTATTTAGAATATCAAGTTGGTATTGAATTATGCTAATTACAATAATTGCAATTTCAATAATTATTAATTGTTCTGAATAGTCTAACATTCCCTACATTACTTTCCTACTGATTAGTTGAAACCTATAAAGTTGTAGAATAGTTACATCTTAATAGAGTCATCTGTGTTTTCAACAAATTGATTCTATATTAATGAAAACACTGAATCCAAACTTTTGAACTCTACAGTTTGTCAGCCACCCTCTACAATATTCATTGGTCAGTTTCAGGGGTGAATATTAACTATTAGAGGCCTTAAATTTGGGTCTAAATGTCAAAAATCCCACCTGTATGACGAAGCCCTTTCCAAGCATATTTAAAGCATTCTGAGGAGATTTTCAGGAACATTATTTGGTCGTTAAATTTAAATTAAATTAAACACGGACATTTCATGTTTTACCTGTGATAGCATGTGACAGACATATTAGCATATAGCTGACCTTGTAGCAGTTTCACAGTGACTCAGTAGAGAGGCTGGTGTAGACCTGCTGCTGTTTCCATCTCTAATAGCCCATTAATTTAGGCTAGCACTTGTATTCACAGTCAGTGACACATCTTGGACTTCCAGGAGGCCTAGAATGATGTTTTTGTTCTGACAAAATTGGTCCTGTTTATTGTAAATCAAAACGTGATTGGTTGATTCCTCTGTCACTTCACAATAATGCTGGTTAATCTAACATGTTAGGTCTTCTCTTCAGCTCCTGAAGTCCTAACCAATAGGAGGGCTTGCTTAGCTGTATCTACCTAAATACCACAGAAGAAAACAATTTCTGTTGGGCCAGATTTCCAGTGGATGTTTGGAGAACTTAACCCTTTTGTTTCCATCTAAAACTTAACAATGAAACAAGATAGTACTGTAATACTTTCTGAGTTAAAATACAACTATCCCTGCACCACTCCCTCCCTCTTGAAACTGCTCTGAATGAGACCAGCTTAGAACCTTTCAGCGTTTGTGGAAGGTAGATACTGGAGTTAACAGGTTCAAGGTGCTCCACATTTGTAATGTGCCGCCATTGTTATTGTGATGTGTGATGTAACGAGTATTCATCTCACAGATTCAAGTACACAAAAACATATTGAGCGCTTGTAAAAATGTGCCTATTACTACTTTAAATAAATAATTTAGTCCTCAGAATGGGAGTATTGATCATGCAGGCTTCTGTTATTCCAGTAATTGATGGCTATTTTGTCAACTACCCAAGCTTCACTAATTTCGTCAACATCTGAAGACTGTCGCAAGAGGAACAACTTGAATTAGCAACGAACACATAATTGCCTGATCAAATTTGTTATTGATCTCAAACAGCTGGCAAAAGAAAATGGTAGCTTGCGATCAATGTGTGGATTCAGGATAAATTCACCCTGCAGGGCACAGAAGTTGAGTAACACTAAAGGAGACGATAAGCTGAAGGAGAGCTTATTGAAAAAGATTTGGTTTGAAACAGAACTACAAAGCTCAGGTACCATACATACATGTGCACAGAAGCAGCAGCATTAGCTTTGCAATTGCTCTGTCTTTCCTCGGTAGCACTCAAGGTCCTCTTAGGCACGTGAGTCACGACACTTACGAGAATCTTCCTGAAAAGAACCAGAGAGCTGCGTTTGTAATATGATTTTAAAACTTCCCTTTGTGCATAATTAGCTTAACATCTCTTGGGGACAGAAATGCTAATGTTTTACATCCTTTTATCATCTAATGCAAGAAAATATAATTATTTGGTGAGGGTACACTGTTAAAAATAAAGATGCCCAAATTGGTTGTTTGGAGCCCTGCCATAAGAACAACTTTAGGCTTTGGCTTCTGGTACTCCGAAGAACCTTCGAACAGAAGGTTCTTTAAAAAGGAATTTTACCTATTTTTCAAAATACATAATTTAGTGGTTGAGATGTAAATGAAGTCACTCAGAGTAGTTTGATGTGAAAGAGTGCATTGCAGAGAAACATGCTGACTCCAGTGATGTTGGTGATGGGAACTGAGGATTACAATAGTGATAGCCTTTTACTTACTTTTGAAAAATGACCAGGGAACCTATGTCTATGTCTTTATATATAATGTTGGTAATGGTGAAATAATGGAGAATCTGACAATGCTTTAGGCTAAAAGCTTATCTTAAAAGTATAGTAAAACAATGTCTCGGATATCAAGAAGCACTGTAAAAATACAGCAAACAATTACAGTACTTTACAGTTTATTTACAGTACTCACACTGTATTATACAATGACAATACTGTATTACTACATACTCATCATATTTCTAATGTACAGATATGTGCTCTAATGTGCATCCACAGCTGTCTAAGGACCCTCAGTTTTCTTACATTATGTAGTACAACATGTATACATATCGGCAAACAGGGCAAATCTAGCTAGCTAGCTTTTGATAGCAAATTCTTGAATGTTCATGCAGACTATTATAGTTAAATGAACAATTACAGCAGTTATGCCAGTCGTTAAGACTACAATGGTGGCAGTAATCAAATATTTGTTATTTAGAACATTACAGGATGAATTAGTTACTGAACCACAGAACACCATCATGGTTGGAATAACGAAACATGTAAAATGCCTTTAAATATATGTTAGAGGTAAGAACAATGTCAACCCCCTACATGGCCGGTTGGCCCAAAGTTTTATCTCACACTTCTCTAACCTAAGAGCAGCTCAGCAAGCTAACAAAAACTAACTTCCCCAATATGCTTAGCAAATATCAGCTAATTACTGTACATCTGACATTTTTTATTATTTCACAAGAGGCTTGTTCTGCTTCTTGTAGAATTCTTTACAGCAATCTGCTGTATTTTAGGAATGCAGTGCAGAATTTCCACTGCAAATTTACACTAGTAACCACAGTATGCTAACTGTTACACGTTCAGGTGGGTTTTTAGAAGCATTAATACATACGTACATATGCATGAAAGTGTTCTGCCACATTAATTCAGGTTTTTCCTAGAATGATACATCCCAGCCAAAACCATTGAGGAACCTTTATTGCCAGAAAATTATAGCAGAAGGGGCTTTGAGCCATCAAAAGTACAGCTGGACAGATATAATGGACAGATTCAGACACCATCAGCTCAGACAGTCCGTTCATGATCAGATTAGGGTGATTTCCCTGAAAGCTTTGTTAAATATACTGTGCTTTTAAAACTGGGATATTAGGGCCTCATTGGCCAAATGCAGGGCCTAAATAACATATCTTTTATTTAAGTTTGCTAAATTTTGAGTTGTAGCAGACAGTTTACCAGTATAATAACTAGGGTTGCCAGATTTTCCTTCACCCAGTGCAGCCAAAATCTGCCTAATTTGATGGGCAATCACCACCATCACTAATATTAACCCCTAAAATGATCAGTAATCACCAGTGATCAGTGACAGAATTATAGTGTAATTTTATATTAATTTTATTACTTGTTGCTTATTGAAACATGCAGAGACATTCTGTCAAAAATACAAGTTCTAAAAGTTCAATCAGTATCATATTTGTGTTTGTCAGTAAAAGAGGATATTTTATTATGATTTGAATTTGATGGAAGGTTATTGTTGTGTGTACAGTCTTACATGCTTAACATTTTTGCCATGTTTTTGCCAATCTTGACATCAGAACATTTGGGAAGATGTCAGAAGTGGGGGCCTTTTGATACAGAATGTATCAGATCTAATGTAAATGTAATTAGTTATGAAACTTACTATGTAATTAAATATGTAACTATCTAGTAACATTTGAATAGTGGAGCAAAGTAATACATTTTAATTTCTATAAAATTAACTTTTAGGATTGACCTGTTTATGATTTTGGGAAAGGATGGCAGGCCTGTTACTTTACTGAGTACAAATACTGCAGGTCCCTCATCATCCGCTTACGCTAAGGTCCAACTACTTTGACATAACTCTGTAACAGTTACGTAACCCAAGTCCATCAACGTTAGAGGGAAACATTATGTGTGGTGATTTGCTTTTAGCTCAGGTGATTGATTTTCCACGCTTTGCACTCCCTGATCAGCAGGAAGACACACGCTTCGGTTCAGGTCC